AAAATAGTGATCGAACAACATAATATATTGCTATTATTGGTAAATTTAGCGATGAAAATGTGTCCATCATTGATTTGTGATGACATCAAGGGATTAGCGATAGAATATTTCCTCGCTAATCGAACCCGAATGAAGAACAAAAAATAGCAACAGATTGGTTTAGTTACAAAATATTTTATCACCATATTTAATGATGGACCACATCCGTCATTTAACTTTCGCCACAAATCGATCGATAGTCCGTCGCTAAATTTCACATTCGAAAATCTTTCGCTAATCCGTTGTTATTTAACTACGGATTGTAATCCGTCACTAAATTACTCCTTTTTTTTGTCATGCATATATAATGTGTCAAAAAATAATTCCTAATGGTTTTATAGTTGGAGGGTAGTTTAAATGGACTTCATTAATGATAGTAGTAGTAGAGAAATCCAAATAATCAAATCTCAATAGTAAAGAAATATGGAATGTAATTAACCTAACTTTTAATAAAGCTTAATCTACAATAAAAATAAACAAAATAAAAATGAAAAGCTTAACCTATTATTTGCCTTTATATTTGTCTCCATTATTTAAAATTGCTTACGTGTTAATAATTGGTTCAACCATCCGTATTTGTAAAATTGACTCGTTTGGAACGAATACTGAATTGTGTCACCTTATTGTTTCGTTGCTTCAAAATGACATGAACAAACAAATTCTATATGTCAAAATGATTGTCGCTTTAGGAAGAAGATATTTATTATTAATGAATCCGCTATTTCAACTCGTACACGTTTCTTGGGTATTTAACTAAGCAAAAGTACGCCCAATATATATATATATATATATATTTGTTATAAGAGTAACACATTTTCATGGATAACATATGTTGCAAATTTACTTTACAAATATTCCCTATCGGTTAAAAAAAAAGGTCTTATTATTCAAACCCATAGACTTAATGAGATTTAATAAAATTTGTAAATAATTAAAATTGAATACAATGTAATTAATTTTATGAATGTAGTTATGAAATTTTTTAAAAACATCACATTTTAATTAGCGAAACGGAACGGATGGTTGAATTTCTCAAGCATCTTAATTAGTTTGTTTCGACTCACTTCAAACAATATACAATCACTACAGGAAAAACATGATTATACCGTCACTAAAACTAAAAAAAAAATTGTCATTAATAATAATTAATAATGGTTCAAAGCCCTCCGAAAAAGCCTAAACCACCATAAAACCATCACTTAACATTGTTTAGAAGGTCATGAATTTAGCAACAGTTTTAGCGTTTGTAGCATTGGTTTTATAGAATCATTGCTAAATCCATTGCTATTTAGCGATATATTAGCAACAATTTTTGAAAATCGTCGCTAAATATTAGCAAATTTTGCTTCGTATTTAGCGATGGTTTTTAAACCGTCGCTAAGTCTTTTTATTTTATATATTTTCGGTTAATTATTTCATCATGCACATGTCACTAATAAGAAGTATAAAACCCAATCCAATTTAACAACTATAATAACAATATGAAACAAATTTATAAATATTACAAAACTTTTATAATATATAAAATTCAATCAAATCAAATATATATTCAAACACCAAATTATATTAAAGTTTATTAATATTTCAATAATAAAATAAAAGCGATAAAAAATATATTGTGATGAAGGGGATACATATCATGACATCATCATTTTCATCGGAAGCATGACGATAAGTCGGAGGATTAGGGGATAAATTACCTCTTTGCATATTTAACAATATCTGCTACATAATCACATGATGCTCTTGAGTATACTACTCCAATCACCTTTGACCTTCTAGAAGCAATGCAATAGTGTCCTCTAGTTTTTTGGATCTTTTCTTCTTATCTAGAAGTATTGACCTTCATTTCCTTTGGATGATTTTCAATATCGACATAAAATCGTGATGTGGTCGAAGTAAAGGATGTACTAACATTATAGTAATAGTGAGAGGCCTATGACCCGAGTCCGTCCATTATCTTCCTCTTACCGGCTCCTCCTTCAACAACCCTCTTAAAAATCTCGTTTATGTCGATGTCGGGTAATAAAGTACCCTCTGTCTCTCGGCTAGCAACCTCTTTCTTAAACATTTTCTTGACGATCTCTTACATCATTATATAAATTTTAATATTAAATAGTTATCTTAATAAGTTATATAAAAATGACATACGTATTTAATAGGCTTATAAATTACTTCCCCGAGATTTCTTGCTCGCTAATCAAGGAATATGTACCTATCATCAATCTTCTTTTCGTGAGTCTTCAAGAAAACCTCGTGCGCATCAAGTTCACGGTCTAGCTCCTTACGCTAAAACAAATATACTTAAATGTTTATTAATGTTGCAATAATTGTAAATAAAAAATAATATATACATATATGTATATACATATACATACATACATATACATATACATACATATACATATATGTACATATACATACATACATATATACATATACATACATACATATATACACACATATATATATATATATATATATATATATATATATATATATATATATATATATGTAATAGGATTTACCATGTGATTGCGTGCTCTCTGTGGGTGATCGAACCCCCCATATGTCTAGATGGGCCCAACTCCGATGTCACCCGTCTCACTCTTATGGTTTTAGGCCGCCAACTTAGATCGGGTACGAGACTCGGGTTTTTCCCATTCCTTATGTCATGCATATCATATCTCTTGTGAGATATATGTTGATTTAGAGTTTTTCTTTACTTGATAAAGAAAGTCCAAATATCGTTTCTATGCGAGACTCTGTCATGCTTTATTTTTGCTTAGATCAATCTCCCGGTCCCATATAAAAGACTTCAACAAGAACAAGAACATTAAAAATGTTCATTAGTACATTTAAATGAACATTAATATTTCTTAATTGAAATATACTTGTAGCATAATAAATTAAGCTAAAAATTACCTTAAACTCTCCTAATAGAACTCTCTAGTTTCCTCACTAATTGACTTCCACATCGATCCGTATAGGTTGACATTCTCATGAAATGTTATATATATATATCTAACTAACGCAATATCAAAAGGATACAAGTCGTCAAACAAGTTATGAATTAATGATGAAATCAACGCATTAATATAATAATACACCAAAAAATATTTAAAAAATATGTATAATACATACTCCTTGACATCCATCAACGATAGTAATCAAAATTCGAGGATCGTACGTAGATTCGACGAGTGTAGAAGGCAAACTAGAAGGGACGTTTGGCCACGAGCCATGTGTAGGAACCCGAAGGTCGTTTTGTTAAAGTGAAGGCCCTAATGATGTCGAAGGTTCCGATAGATGGGGACATGGAGGTCCATAATAATGGGGCTCGAGTCGAGACATGTCAAATAATGATGGGTTTGACATGGTGGTTGAGGGCGGCTGGTATGGAGACATGTCGACGGGGGTGTGCGCCATCCGACTTGGAACGAAGCTTGACTATGCTTATGTCCATGGTCACTATCATCATTAGTATCCGAACTAGACTCTCACAATATGATATGGGCCATTGCATGCGGGCCGAATGTCCCCTGTCATGAGGCATAACTTACACATTAGTACATTAATTAGTTAATAAATTAAACATAACAACTATAAAATATTGATATTAACATCGGCAAGTTAAAATACATTTATTTTGCGATCAACTAATTTACTTATTTTAACAACTAAAAAACTTAATTAACTACCAAATTGATTAAACTAACACGTAATTAAATATTTTAAATAAAATTTAATTAATTTAAATAACAACTAATTTACTTATTTAACACATAATAAATTAAAATAACATCTAATTAATTCTTTTAAACAATATTTTAATTAACAACTAATTGACTTAATTTAATAATTAAAAAACTTAATTAACTACCAAATTAATTAAACTAAGACATAATCATATATATATATATTTTAAAAAAATAATTAATTTAATTAACAAATAATTAATTTTTTTAGATGATATTGAGATATTTCTTCAACTTTAGGAACAACATTTAAATATTTACATCTTTTTCATTGCATTACGAGTTGATTTAGACAATACAGAAAATTGAAATTATGATGAATACATGAAGGTCCGTTTATACAAAACAAACTTTTTGAAAGAAACCGAGACACCCATGGCAAGAAATTAAAATTTATCCAAATAAAATATAATGATAAAGATAAATTTACAGCTTGTAAAGTACGTTGAAATGTATAAGCATATATTAACAAATATAGTAAAAAGCAAAATGAAGAAATTGTGAAAAAAAAGGATTCGATATATTAAAAAAAATTCAAGAGATTATTTCATCAATGAATCATTAAGCGGCAAATCTATGATTTGAAGTACTAGAGGATAATTTTAAAAACAAAGGAAAAAAAAACTATTTTGGACAAAAATTTGAAACATGTTTTAGTAGCCTATGAAAAAAACAACGAATTTATTGACAATTTTTAGTGGTTTGTCAATTTGCTTTAGTTCTTTTTTTTTTTCTTTTTGAAGAATGCTTAAAAAAATGGAAAGAAAAAGAGAAAAGAATCAGGGAAATATCTCAAGTAATTTAAGAGTATTTACAACTCCGTACTTTATTCATTTAAATTAATCTATATGTACAAGCACATTAAATTTGATATTTATTATGTGATTTAGAAAAATAGAAATAATATAATTAAAATTAAAATCATATTAACTTTTATATGCAATTGTGAATTAATACTTGATTGAATTTAAATTGGGGCTATATTTGTAATGGAATGACGAAATCTGGTTTAATATGTAATTATAGAAAATTACCAAGAAGGATTTATAATTTTAAACTTATATTTAAGACCGTGGGTGCGTCCCAAACCCCTCATAAACCCTTGTGGCTGTTAGAACCCTAAACAAGACGCTCGGTCTGTCTTTCGTCTTCCTCCCGAACGGAGAGAAACCAACCAGTAGGTCATAAAAAAATTAAAAGAGAATGAGTGAACAAGAAAGCAGCAGTGATGAAAGAATGAGCAGTGAAGAAGAAGAAGAAGAACAGAAAAAGGAGGAGGGATTTTCATATATGAATTTGCCAGATGTGGAATGGGGTCAACTGCCCCCACATATCGAGAAACAAAGAAGTCGTGTTCATCTCAAACCTGATGCTCCTACTAATGTAATTTCTCAATCACCCTTTTTATCTTTTCTTCTAAAGATTCAAGCTTTGCTTGGAATTATCATCTTTATAGGATAGGACTTGGTCATAATTTTTTTCACTTTAGCCCAGTTACTGGACTTTGTTTTTGCTTTGTTTGGAGATGGGAAAATAGCAGTATTAGTAGTGGGTTATCATGTTTTATTTATTTATTTGTTTTGGAAAGGAGAAGGGGAAAATTGGCATTGATTTTTTTTTTAATTGAATTTTTCAGTTTTATTTGTATCTTGAAGTGCTTATATGTTTTAGGATTTTGGTTGGTGCAGACTGAAACTTTGCAATATTCTGGTGCCTATGCGTCAATGGGAGTAGATAATAGTTTCCGATTAGATAATTTCCGTGACAACTTCAGAATTAAAGTGATTGCACTTGATAAGGATAAAATGGAGTTTGATTTGATTGGTATTGATGCAGCAGTTGCCAATGCTTTTCGGAGGATTCTCATATCTGAGGTGTGTACGCTATGCCTAGTTTTGGGGATTATATTCTTTGTAGATAGATAGTCATGAAAGCTTGATTTTTTTTTTATTGTTTTTTAGTTATTCTGCTGGGTTTTGTAGTACTTGATATCCTCTTTTACTGGTCAATTATCATTATCTGTTATTGCACATTGAGGGATTGATGATAATTTTTTAAACTCTGGTGTGAATATGTTGAGGTGATGTAAACTGCAATTTTCTTCTAATCTGCACTTCCTCTTCAGATTAGTTACTGATAGGTGCTTGCTTCCAGTATTTAGTACCGCCTAAAAAATTATTACTTTGGACAGACTCTTATATTAGATGGTTCCTGGAAATATGCTTGACATATTAAGGTCATCCATGAACAAAATGTAATATTTAGTGATGTTGAAAGCAATACAGGTTCTTATATCACGAGAAGCTCTCCTAACATTCTTCTGTCAATGGGGTAAATTTACAGCCTAGCGCTTCATGAGAGTAGTAGTCAATTGAGCAAAATAGTTTTCTCCAGTTTTGTTATATTTTATTTTGACTAGGGTTCATGCTTCAATCCATTGGTTCTCAAGTTGTTTTGTTACTAACTGTAGAAAAGGAGTTAATTCTCTCTCTCTCTCTCTCTCTCTGTCTCTCTCGTCATCTATTCTTGTCTCACTTTTGATAAGCACAATATTGATATGTTTGTAAATTCATGGATTCTGCAGTATCTCTTGTGTGCATAGCATGTTGATTTATGGAAATGATGAACTTTGCTTTGATTCTCTGCATGTAGGTTCCTACAATGGCTATTGAAAAAGTCTTCATTGCAAATAATACTTCTGTGATCCAAGATGAAGTGCTTGCCCACAGGTTGGGTCTCATTCCTATCAAGGTTGACCCTAGGCTGTTTGAATATCTTTCAGGTGTGACTTATATTTTGCTTATATGATAAATTTTCTCACACAGAAGAGGGAAACAATTCTGTCCAACCTCTGCATTGTTTATGAAACTTAATTGACTTCTTTTTTCTCCTTTTCCTCTTACTTGAAGCAAATGATACACCAAATGAAAAGAACACCATTGTTCTCAAACTCCATGCTCGTTGTCTTCCAGGCCAGTCTCGTCGTACAGGTAATGGGTACTTTTAGATTACAAGTAAAACCAATAATTTTCTTTTATTATTTTATAGTGAATTGATTAATAATTAGCTGTCACCTCTTTCTGATAGTTGGTAGCTTAACTTTAATGATGATAATAGCCATTGTAATGCAGTATATTCTCAAGAATTGAAGTGGTTACCGAATGGGAGTGAGTTTGCCAAGGAATCTGAAAATCCCAATTCCAAACCAAGCACCTATACTTCATTTAGTTGCAGCCAAGACTCCCTACCAGAATTTGCAAGCAATCCAATTTCTGCAATGGAAGATATTATAATTGCCAAACTGGGTCCTGGACAGGTAAGGCTTTTTCCATGTTTGCTTTGTTTTGGTCATTCTTCATAAGTTTGGTTAGGCAATGTTAATTTATCTGCTTTACATCTTCATGTAACATATTTGGAAAGAAAGTTGTCTATAACTTCAATGCTGAAAGCCCGAAGGGTATAAATTCTGGTAGATTAGTATTGATGATCAACTACTATTTTAACCCAAATCCATGTGAAGTGATGTGTGGTTGGTGGATTGGATACTTGCTATTATGTGGTTTGTGGAATAAAGTATTGCATTGAGCTTGGTAACTGTGCTATTTGCTATTGAACCTCTGACTGTTGCTGCATTCTGTTGATATAAACATTTTCAAGCTACCAGCCTAGGTTAAATATTTTCTTATTTGATATTTTGTGACATACCAATTGGTTTATGTAATATAAATCATTTCGCTCATCTAGAAATCTATGACTGTTAATGCCCTTCCTTTCCTTTTCCATTGGAATCCACATACACTGGTGAGCACAACGTATTTAATTTTCTAAAAGGTTTTGCATATTTTTTCTTCTTCGTTCTTTCATTTTCCATTGGAATCCACATATGCTGGTGAGCACAACATATTTGATTTTCCAAATGGTTTTGCTTATTGTTCTTCTTCTATCAAAGGTCACTTGTACCAGTTACTAGATTGCAAGTGAAAGTATTAAGTGTTATCATTTTACAGGAAATTGAACTGGAAGCACATGCTGTCAAAGGAATGGGAAAAACTCATGCAAAATGGTCTCCTGTGGGAACTGCTTGGTATCGGATGTTTCCTGAGGTGCAGGAATTGCTTCTTCTTTTTTTTTTTTATTGCTTTTATCTGATGCAACCTCCTCTCTCCTTTTCCCCTTGCATATTGTTGTAACATTTTAAACAATCTCCCTTCCTTGTAGGTCGTGTTACTGGAAAACGTTGAAGGTGAGGATGCTGAAGAACTTGTAAGGAAGTGTCCAATTGATGGTGTATTTGATATTGAGGACACTGGCAATGGTAAAGCGATTCTGCTTTCTTTATCCTTCTCTCTGGCATCTTTCTGCACTGTGTAGTTTCCATTAACTTTCTTAGAATATAAAATAATGCATCCATCTCTGTTTTTGTTTTCTGAGCATCCTTGATGAATGATTGGCTGTTTGACAGGTAAGAAGAGGGCAATTGTAGCTGATTCACGAGTCTGCACATTGTGTAGGGAATGCATCAGAGGGGATGAAATGTGGGAGAGACGTGTGGCACTGTACCGTGTTAAGGATCATTTCATATGTAAGTGATGTGGTGCGCATGCTTTATAGCAAATCTAATTAGCATAGAACTGTGAATATAAGCTTCATGTGATTGTTTGCAGAATATATTGAGGAAAATTATAAGAAATATCAAAAGAACGTAAACTATTCTGAAATACCAATGAAATTTACTGCTAAATAATTTCTGTCAAGTAATTAAAAGTTAGAGCAACTCAGGAGCTTTGCCTTGATGGACTAATCGTTGCTTGAAGTTATAATGACATACTTACTTTCTGGTGTGTCATAATATTCAATTACTTTTCTGCTAAATAATTTCTGTCAAGTGATTAAAAGTTAGGCAACTCCAGAGCTTCGCCTTGATGGACTAATTGTTGCTTGAAGTTATAATGACATCCTTACTTTCTGGTGTGCCATCATATTCAATTACTTTAGAGTTTAGATTGCAGATCAAGTGATTTCCCCTTTAAGGTTCAAACTCATTTGGAAACAAGCTTAATTCTGCAGCACTTGTTCTTTTAGGACATTAGACTAAATTTATTAGCTCTGTGATAGTTTTACTGAAGATCCCATATTTATGATGTTCAGAAAGCTTTTCTTTAACTGAATTAGAACTTCATCGAGGAAACTAGTCAGTTTTACAATAGTTGTCCTGAGGATCCTATTTTTTGGACTTGGAAAGATCTGTAAAGTCATGACTTGGGCATGGTTTTGTGAATTAATTGGCCAAAGTATATATGTCGCCAAACCGTTTTCAACTCACTGATTTTTTATATAGTCCCCTGATTTTTTATATTGCAATGGATAGGAGTGATTATGTTTTGAATACATAAAACTTCAGCTAAACTGGAACCGTTTGAACTTTTAGTGCTAAGCTTATAAATAATTCTGCCACCGAGAGTCTGAAGGTTGTTTATGCTTTATGCGGTCTAAGCAGCTCATGTCAAAAAGTTGTGCCTGTTATTGCATACTATCCACTTACTGGAGTTCTGTTACCATGGTTCATGATACATGCATGTTTGTTCGTGACAAATTTTGAGTGGAGTTTGTTTATTGTGAATTTCTTGTACAAGGCAGATGAAATTGTTGCTCTTGTATTTCAGTATTTTTATTAAAATCCTCATTTGGGGTAAATAAGATTGTTTGGATTTGAAATTTTATTAATTTTGAGAAGATCCATTCTGATTTTACTTGCCCTTTCTCACTAGTTACTATTGAATCAACTGGAGCATTACCTCCTGAAGTTCTCTTTACTGAAGCCGTGAAGATTTTGGAAGCCAAGTGTGAACGTGTAATTACTGAGCTCTCTTGATGCCCATGTCATGTTCTCAACTTTTCTGGAGTATGATGCTGATAAAGAATGCAGTAGCAAGCGACTGTAAATTATTAGTGTTATTTAATGTTGTTTACCAAGCATGATTACTCTTTCTCCCAATTTTGGAATTCAAAACCTTTGCAAAGCCTGAGTTTCTCCATATAAGCTCTGTTGTTTTTAACGCCCGATCATGTTGTGTGAATGCATAAGTTACTGAGCTCGCTTTCAAGGCCAAAGCTTAATTGAAGCAGCTTCTGTGGCAGAGGTGCAGTGCATGGCGGCGATTTACTTAGTGCATACCATTTTTGTTCAGGTTCATTGGGAAAATGTACATTACCCCTTTTGAAAATGCCCCTTTTTGGCCGTGTGTTAAGAACCTTCTTCTTGCCTGATCATAACATACAACAATGGAAAACTATACAGCCCATCAACAGTTTCGAATTATTTGTGGTCATAAATGTGGCATTGCCTTGTTGGATTGCAATCTGCACATACTTTGTTATCAACAGTTTCGAATAGCTGCTTAAAGGTTACATGCTATGGTGCCCCTTGTTACAATGATTTCTCCAACTTCGACTATTGCTGAAAGTTCAATGAACGAAAAACATGCTTTTGTTGCCCGTAATTTTATATAGCTATTCATAAGCAATTTGTAGGCTGACATGGTCAATTTTCAAGAAAATTATTATTATCGAACATGATTGATATTAATCGTGCTAGATTAGAATAAGAAGATATTGTACTATGAGATTATCTGAAAAGATTCTTCACATTATCGGATTCAAGATTTTTCTCCTTAGTCTTTGTAAAGAATTCAAAATCTTAATTTTTTAAAATTATTTATTTTGTTATCTGATTTGAACATTAACAATTGTCCTAATTAATATTTTTTCTAATTAGAAACTAAACTCCTAAATCAGTTTTATTTGTTTGCTTATAACACAAGTAAGTTTAGGTTTTAAAAAGTATTAAAGAAGTATAGCTTATTGTATTTTTCTTAGCATGCCTTAAAGACACAATTTCAATACAAGTTTTCTTGTAATTTATTTTTTGCAATTTACTTTTCGTAAGTTTATTGCTTTAAGCTCTGTACTTTACGTTTTCTTTATCGCATTATTTATAAGCTTTCTTTACAGTTTTATTTATCTCTTTCTTTATAAGCTTTCAATTTTATCTAAATGTTTTTTCGAATATAATTTTTTTTTTTTTTTTTTTGCTAGCTTTACAGTATATGTAAACTCTTCATAGTCTATGTATATAAATATTTTATGATTTATTGCTCGATGTAAATTTATTTGTTTATTTCACATAAATCATAGGGTTTATGGATCAATTATTCAATGAAAACTTCTGTGTTCATTGCTCCATGTAAACTTAATTATTTAAATATAATTTGAATCTTCATAGTTTTTTCACAATCAATATAAGCTTTATATTTTATATTTCAATTTAGTTTTTGTGGTTGAATTTAATATTGTTTTATTTGGACAATCGTTATTTTGGTAGAATTAATTTACTAATATCTTCTTATTTGGGTTTATCTCACATTTGATTTCTGTACTATTTATTTTAAACTCTATTCTTTATTTGATTTTTTTTTATTTATTGAAACTCTTTCCTCTTTTTTATATTGATTAAAACCCTCTACTTTTTTATATTTGTTGATAATGTTTGTCTGATATGATATATTATTGTTAACAACAATCAATTACTAAGCGACATGTGGCCAAGTGAGCCCATATATATATATATATATATATATTGATGCAATTCCATAGTTCTGTTCAATCAAAGAAGAACTCAATGTAAATTGTTAGATACTATGATCATGATTGGAAATCTTTATTTAAGAAATGAATCAACCAAATACAATGCTCAAGTTCAGTTGAAAACACAAAAGAAGAAGAAAGCTTGAAGAAGAATTTTCAGAGAGAAAAACAAAGTGAAACAGAGGAAGAGATACAATTTTGCTAAGAAGAATACAATTCAAAGCTTCTCTCTCTTCTATTAGTATACTAGCCATTAGAGACAAATCTAACTGACTAGTTTAACAATCTAACTGAATAGGCCACGTCATTAATTCCAATCCTTCATGCCTCCTATGTATGTCCCATTTGTTTAGAAGATGCCCCACCCTTGTCATATAATTTGCAGCTAACATCTTCTCTGTTGTAACTAACATCTGCAATTCAAACTTACTAACGGTTACTTCAAAGCCACCAGTCCATTTCCTCCTATTGCATCAATATCCCTTGCTTAAGAGACCTTGTCTTCAAGGTCGAAAGAAGGAAAACGCCTCTCCAAGTCAAAAGCAAACTCCCAAGTAGCATCTAAAGGAGAACCATTAGACCATTAAATTAACAACCTCGTTTAACCAATTTCCTATCCACTATAGCCACTGGAACAGCAGGGTATCCAAGGACAAAGATAGTGTCTTTTGAGCTGAAACTTGACCATATGCTGAGAGACATGAAATGTAGGATGAATGATTGAGTGAGAGGGAAGGTCCAGCTTGTATGCTAACTCCCCAAGCTTATCCATAACTTTAAAGAGACTAAAGAACTTAGAAGACAACTTCTGGTTCTTACGAATACTAACAAATTGCTGCCTATAAATTTGTGACTTTCAAATACACTCAATCTGTTATTTGAAACACCCTATCTGTCCTTTTCTTATTAGCCTATTTTTTTCATACGATGTTGTGCCTTAGTTAGATAATGCTTTAACACTTCAATACCGTCCTCCTCCTCCTACAAAAATTGTTTGTTGTTGTTTGTAAATTTTTGACTTCAAATACACTCAATCTCTTATTTGAAACTCTCTATCCTTCCTTTTCTTATTAGCCTATTTTTTCATAGAATGTTATGCCTTAGTTAGATGATGCTTTAAAACTTCAATAACATCCTCCTTCTCCTATAAAAATTGATTGATAGCCTCCACTTTGCAATGATTTGGCAAATAAGGCAAATGTAAAGGAGGAGAGTAACCATATAATGCCTTAAAAGGAGAACATTTGATGGTAGAATGAAAGGAGGTGTTGTACCAGTATTCTACCAAACCCACTTACACCATTGGTTAGGAAGAGAAGAAGTCATACAATGAAGGTAGGTTTGTAAGCAACGGTTGACAACCTCAGTTTGACCATCAATTTGACTACTTCTTTCACTGTTGGACGTCCAATTTGCATTGGGCCTGCTTTTACAAACCAGGCACACAAGTCTGCTCTTTTTTTTTTTTTTTTTTACCAATTTATTTTTTTTATTATTAAATTGGGTTTGAAAATTATGAAAAATCAATCATTAATTTTTATTTTTTTTTACACAAGCTGGAAATTATGAAATATATACAACACTTTTTTAAATTTAAAATATATATATCGGATTATATTACTTTTATTATTTAAAATTAATATGTTCAATTTTTTATTTCTTATAAAAATTCTCATCGAATTATATGATTTATTTATCTATCTATGGATTTTTGAATAATTTTTTAATTTTTTTTATTCGCTTATTCTTTAAATAATAAAATTTCACAAATAGAATTCATATGTTATATTTGCTTATTATTTATGCAATCAAATTTTATTGGAATTAATTTTTTAGTTGTTTTTATTGCATTCTATTAACTTCAATGTATTTTTTACAATTTAATTTTTAAAAAAATATTTTTTGATTTATGGTACACACTCTAACCCACTAAATATAGTCATGGTATATAAAAAATATTAAGATAATTGATTTTATTAAAAATTAACTATTTATCTACACACATAGCACCAACCATTTGCTATTATTTTTTTAATATTTTAAAATTAAAATCTTTTAAATAAAATAATTAGAATAATAATTTAGAAAAACTACCTAATAATTCAAATACAAATTTTTATATTAATATTTTTCATTATTTTTGAAATAAATATATATAAATTAAATGTACATAGTTTTTTTAAAAAATAATCTTTTCACTAGTATTAAACAAGCATAAAGAAGATTCATTTGTTATTTTTATACAAGTTTTATATTAATTATCGTTTTATTTCTTTGATGCAATGATATGAAAAAATTATTAATATATTTTTTAAAGTTTTATATTTAGATTATTATAGGTTTTTATTTAAGAAAAAAATGCATAAGAAAGAACAAATTGTGTTTTTTTAACTATTAAATTTATTAAAACATTAAATACAAAATTTTGATTAAAAACTATAAAAATATTTAAAATTTTATTTTTTATATTAAGTTTAATATATTTTAGTTAATCGATAATATAATACTTAGTATCATTTAAAGCCATCTACTATAACCGATGGAATATTTGATCACCTCACACAATGTACTCTCGTACGTCGTTTTTTTTTACTCCATGACAGCTTGTTGCCTGTTGATTGGAAATTGGATCCAATTGTTATTTTCTGTAAGTTAATTTGCTCAAGCATACTATTTGCAAATCCACAACAACTTCCTTTATCAGGGTCTCAGGAAGCTTCAACCAGTCATGGATTGGCTTGCATACAAATGTCATATTTACATATTGAATTGCTACTTTTATTATCAAGAGCACCGGCTGATTTTATTGAAGGCACTCATGACAAAATTGTATGAGTTCTTTAAGTTCGAAGAGGAATCTCCCATGAGTTTTAAGACTAGAAAAAGGATGCTAGATTCATCAAAGGAATGGTCAAGAAAGACGAGCAAGGTTGCAATCTGATCATGAGTCAGCTCTACTCTCCTTGTTATTTTTTCTTCCACGACAAGGGATTATTACTTGTGCAATTGTAAGAGAAAAAGTACAGTCTGGTTAGAGTATTCTTACTTAGCTTTGCGTTTTGTGCTGCAGAAAATGTAAAACCAATAGCTGGCAGGTCACCTGATAGCCCATTTTCTCTTGTGTTTTAGTGCATTTTGGTTTATATGCTTTTGTAACTGAATCTTTAAATAAAGAGAGCATCTGTCTTTCTCTCTAATTCTTCCTCTCCGTCAAGGATTCTTCTTGGAATTCCCTTCCTGATAGTTTAACCCAGAACATTATAGCGATTGTATTGTGGAGTATGCTAATCCTAAATTTCTTTTAAAACGGGATGTTTTTTTTATCATTATAGAAAATTGGTTTTTCGATGAGTAGCCCCTGGATGGTATTCAGTTGAGTTTGGATAATGGTAACGTAGTGAGGTTTTGGTTATACTAACGGGTGCGTTAATGGTTTGGACGCAGTACCTTTATTCTATTTCAAGCTGTAAGTCCTATTCCAGAAGAGCTGTTCAAAACTCCAGTCAGTGTTTTTATCTCTACTACATGTCAGTGACTTTGACATAAGTTTGGCAAACTCGTTCTAACTGGTATATTGTTAAAAGTGCATGGTGGTTGTTCTATCACCTTCTCCTAGCTAGTACATATGTAGATGATATTATTTGGAGTTTGTCTCAATATGGTCCCTTTACTTCCAATTCTGCTTAAGAGTTGCTTGAGAGGCATAGATGGGGTGAGGCTCTTATTGAAGAGTTGGTTGGCTTGGCCCTCAAAGGATCAAAATGCATCTATGGCTTATTGCTCATCAAAGACTAATGACCAATATTGGCCTTCGTTATCCCGACATATTGTTGATTCGGCTTGTTATGTTGACGGCCCCAATATGGAGGAGAATCCTTACATGTTTATGGGACTACTAGCATGCTCGATCTATTTGGAGAAAACTTGTTTAGCTAGATGTGTGGGGTAAGTTTATGTCTAGTATAGAGTCTTAGTTGATTGATAATCTTTGTATGAATTATGGGATTGAGCAGAATTCTCACTGAAGCTTAATTTTTTATTTGCCATTTGGAAGCTTTGGAAAGGAAGGAACCATAGGACTTTTAGTAAGAAATTTCGAACTAGTAATGGTAGCAAGATATTCTGGTCTTTGCTCAGGATGTGACAACTACTCTGAAATTTACTTCGAGTTGGTCTTCTTTGAAGCAGGAAACTTTAGTCTCTTGGGTTAAACCTAGGGAGCAGTGGGTGCGAGTGAACACAAATGGAGCTAGGAAGCATAGTTCTGGAGTTGCTAGTGCTGGTGGTCTAATTCGTGACAGTTTAGGAAGTTGCTGCGTGGGTTTATAGCTAATATGGGTCATTGTTCTTCCTCTAAATTAAGCTGAAAGGTGGGCTACGGTTTTGGGTTTATGTATCGTAGGAAGTCTTAATTATAAGCATGTGAAGTTAGAGATTGATTCAGCTATGTACGTTCAGGCTACTAAAGGCTCTTCAAGTTGTATTACAGAAGACCCTCTATTCAAGGAGATTATTCAGCTTCTCCATCGGGATTAGAAAGTTTGTATCAATCGTACTTATAGAGAAGGCAACTGTTGCGCAGATTGGCAAGCCAATAAAGACTTATCTCTTGAGTTTGGTGTGCATTATTTTGTGTTTGCTCCTTCAGGTCTTCGGAGCGTTTATTCCAGGTTGTTATTGGGGTGGCTACTCCCTGTCTGTGCGAGTGCAATCTTTGGTTCTTGGGCTTTTAGCCCTTCTATTCACCCAAAAACAAAAAACAAAAAACTTGGTAGGGACATTGTCATAACTTTCGAATGCCATGATAAAGCATGATATCCAAGTTTTCATCAAAGTTCGAAACACGTGTGTTTGTATGCAGCTAAAATGTTTCAAATTTGGACATGGTGTCTTTTATCAGTTTAATAATATAAAATCAACTTAGCGTTAAGTTTTTACCAATTAGCATCCGTGCCATAGGATGCTTTCAACAACCCATCAGAGGTCACTTCAAGCTATTAAAAAAATAGCTTTATATCTTTTTCTTGGCAACAACCTTTTACATGATACAAGTATAATTTTAAATTGCAGACTCCTGAAGAAACAATCGCCGTGTCCATAGCAGATCACGAATTTAATAATTTAATAATTTAATAATTAAATAAAAAACCAAAAGAATTAAGACAAATGATCCTGTTCATTCACCTCAATTCATTATTCATTATTCATTATTGTTCAAAAAATGATAATTTTACGATTTTTACAATGGTATTTTCATAATTTTCTAATATTTTTTAGGTATTCATTTTTAAATTTTACTCTTCATCCCTTTTTGGTCCCTTATGTTTTTAAAATATATTTTTCAAAAAATTTTGACATCTCATGTTTTTAACTTATTTCATTTTTTTCTCACATTTTTTAAAAATATATTTTTTGTTCTTTATATTTTTAAAAGATGTTTTTGCCGAAACTAACTATTCATAGACTTGAACGGATTATGGCTAACTTTTTATGGAGCTCATCAAGAGAGTTTAAACATCATTGGGTAGCTTCGAATAAGATGTGTTGGCCTATGTCGGAAGGTGGTTTGGGTATTCGTAGCTTGGCCCAAGTTATGGATGCTTTACGAAGCTAACCGGCTTGATCTTTCCTTCGTGGTCATAGCTTATAGGCTAAGACCTCGAAAGCTAAATATGGCACAGACTCTTCGGTATTACTCTAATTTCTCTTATATTTTGAAATCTATCTTTAACCACCTTATTGTCTTAGAAGGTTGTACTTCTTGGATTATGGGTAAGGGTTTAATTCCATTTTGGAGATCCGATTGGTGTAAAACTATGTTGAATCCTCCTTTATCATTGGATTATAATTTATCGGTAAAGGAGGCTTTTACATGTTTAGATGAGTTCCTCTCATTCATTCCCCCATACTATCATGATTCTATAAAAGTTGTTCACTTAGATGAGGGAATAGAGGATAAGATTGTTTTTAATTCATTTAAGACGGGCCGTTTTGAATTCAAATCATATTGGAATTATTGTCTACGAGCATCGCCCATGGCTCTAGTGGGCTAAATCAATTTGGCACTCCCGCATTACTCCTAGAGTAGGGGGTTTCATTTAGAAGTGGCTTCGGGGGCTCTTCTAGTTAATTCTAGAATTAAGGATTTGACCATTCGGATGGTCTCCATCCGTAGTTGTTGTCCGTTGTCTCAAGAGGAGACGATTTTTACAGTTAGAAGTTAGCTTTGCGGTTTGAGTTAGATTAACGCCTTGTTTTGGTATAAGGAGTACATACACATCTCTTTCCAAACTCCTTCACAATCGGATGGCCTCCACATCAACATAAGTAGATATGTATCGGTAGCTATTCTTTTCTTTTCACTTTGGGAGATATGAAAACATAGGTGCAAGGCAAGTTTTGATGAGGTTTCTATGTCCATTGATGCCATCTTTGACTAGGTACGTCATCATCTCTTTGATATGTGTATGGTTTTTAACCTAAATCTATGTCTAGTTTCTTTTTCTTTGTAAAGACTACAAGCTTTAGGCTTACCGATCCCGTTATTACCTTTTGATAAGGTAAATGGCCGCATTAGCTACCACCCTCTAATGGTCGCTTTAAAATTAATACGAATGGATCTTCTATATATGACCGTTGTATTGGTGGTGATGTTATTCGTAATTCAAGCGGGCAATTCATGGAAGCATTTGCAAATCATTATGGCACGAGTACAAATACAAGAGCAAAACTTCTAGCTTTGTGTGATGGTCTCCTTCTACATTAAAAAGTCTTTATTAGTAATGTTTTGGTGGAGGCCGATTCGAAGCAAGTGGTCCAAGCTATTCTAGGGATATCCTCCCTATCTCGGAATTATACTTATCATGTGAGACATTGTTCCTCCTTACTTCTAGGACATTCCATTTCCCATGTGTATAGAGAGTAAAATATTATTGTAGATAGGATAGGTTATCACGCACATTCCCTTCAAGGTAAAAATACTTATTATTCTTTCTCTAATTTTCCTTTAGAAGTTAAGTTATCTCTTAGACATGATAGATTTGGTTTCTATAATTATAGAAGTTGAGGTAGATTAATTTTCACTTACAACACAAGTTTTTTCTCTAGGGGTTTAGGCTTTCTTGTCCCTCCTAATTTATTTGGGTAAGGTTGGATTGTCCCTCCCTTGTATTTTTTCTTATATTAATAAAAATTTTCGGGGTTCCACCTCTATTTGTTGAAAAAAGAAGAAGATGTTTTTGCCCTTTTATGTTTTTACATTTTAGTATAAACAAATATATCGGATTATATTTTTTTATTGATTAAAATTAATCTCTTAAATTTGTTGTTTATTATAAAAATTCTCACCAAATTAATTTTTTTATTTTTTTATGAAATTTTATTTGTTAATAAATATGATTTATCTTTCTCTATGTATGAATTGTTAATATGTTTTTAAATAAATAATAAAATTCATGTGTTTTTTTAACCTTATTCTTGATATAATCAATTTTTTTAGAATAAAATTCTAAATTATTTTTATTGCACTATTTTAACTTTAATATATTTTTTACAACTTAAGTTTTTTTTAAACATATCTTTTAATTTGTACAAAGTATGGTAATGACGTATACAAAAAAGTATTGAGATAATTGATTTTATTAAAAATTCATTATCCATCTATACATATAACACCGACTATTCCTTACTAATTATTTTTAATATTCTAAATTTAATTTATTTTAAATAAGATAATATTTTAAAAAAATCACATAATAATTCAAATACATGTTTTTATATCTAATATTATTGATTGTTTTGTGTGTGGGTATGTGTCTATATATCAAATGTGCATATTTTTAAAAATTTTAAAAAGATTTATTAGTTAATTTTTATATTGATTTTTGATATATTTCTTCGATGTAGATTAATAAAAAAATTAAGATATTTTTAAATTTTTAAATTTATATTATTGTAGGTTTTTGTAGCATCTCTAACCTAGAACCTCATAGGTCGAGAATATTATTGCTATTAATCCATATTCGAAGTGCAATGAATGCAAGCTAATAAGGCACTCGTGTCTTTCCTATGACATTACTAGATATGGACTATGTTGCGGAAACATATAAATGATAGATACGTCCTATGATTTAGTCCAAAATGCACTATAAATTTTTCACATCCGATCATTTTATTTAGCTTGCTTGGACCGAACGAACTAGATCTATGACACTCGTTTCTCCAATTCCCTTTTCTATTGATCTATAGAAATTTATTTATTTATTACTCGTTATTAGATACTTAATCTCCTTTATTTACCTTAATTACTATTTATTATTATTAATTTACTTATTAATTTAGTGATCACATTTTAGTAATGGCATTAACAAATAAAGTATTAACTAAAAGAAACTAATGCTAACCATAACTAAGTTATTTCACTAATACTATTTTGTTTTAATTTTAGATAACATACCAACTATGCTTATTTATATATAAAATAACTTAATGCCATATACTAAAAAAATGACTTATTTACTTATTTACATCACATTCTCATCTATAGTTCTACTTGTTCATAGCTTTAACTATTGCATAAAATAAACCTATTATACCAAGTACATAAATTATAACACCGAGTACTAAGAAAATGATTACTTGAAGGAGGTCCATTTTAATACCGAAGCCACATCCAAAATACATATGGCACATAGATCCCTTAGTAATCGAGTCGGCGATGACCATTGTCATTATTACTCGTAATGCCTATACCATAATAAACTAGGTGAGCGACGAACTTAGTAAGTTAATTCATGCATGACCTAAATATATGCATATGAAATGCGAGATGAAAATCCAATTTCATGTCTTTTTGAAAACCCTTCTCATGATCATTCTAAGAACCCTTTTTCCATGCTTGGACGTACCTTACCAAATATTCGAAGGTATACGTCCGTACCAACTCAATCATCTTCCCTATGCAATTTTCTTATGGGGCCATCACCAATTCCCGGACGATCGAGGCTAACATAAATTTCCTCGATGAGAAATGCCATCTCCTTCTATTAGGGCTTACCCCACGTGAAGATTTTCTTTAGCCTCGGGCATTGCCTTCTCTCTCCTAACCTTAGGAGATTTTGCTTTTTCTTCATCAATTTTAAGCCTAATTAGCATGATTTAACTTTAATTACATGAAATTTCAAGTTAGAATCATTTTCCCAATTTACCCTAACTAAGAACCCTAATCCTAATTTTTATAATTATTTTAATTAAATTCAAATTGAAGCATCAAATAGAAAATTGACATGAAAATTTTTCTTATGGTGTAGGTGAGATTAACTTACTTAAATAAGTTTTAATTAGTCCTTGGAAAATTGGATTGTTTAAAATTCTTTTCTTCCTCTTTTTCTCCTAAATTCGGCCAAGCTCTTTTAAATTTCTTCTAGTGAATTTTGAACTTCCAAATTGAAATTGGGGTCTAATTAATCGATTAGCAATATCTAAAATTGGTTGGAAGTATTTTGGATGTAATTTGAGTGGAAATTTGGCAAGAGTTT